AGTTGAAAAACTTATATAAGATTGAAGAAGAGAAAATTCTAAACAATCAAATATACACCTATGGATATATTCCAGTGGTACTAAATTCTGAAAATACATAAGAAGACCAACAAAAAAAAAAAAAATTCCACCTGTTGGTGTGTGACTTGTATATGCTTTTTTTTTTCCATGCCGGTAGACATTTAGATAGTTTATCTTTTTTTTTTTTGGGTCAAGTGTTCTCTATTCTAGTATGTTTAGTCAAAACATGTTTTTTATTCCCCCCAGTCCAAAGAGGATCAATAGTTGTCCCCAAATTATCCCTTTAATTACTCAAATTTAAAATCTATCAGCTACAAATGAAATGTCTTATCAACAAAATTGGACTCAATTCTGAGTCAAAATATGTTTAACCAACAATTAATCCAGTTCTTAAGATTGTCACGCCCTATTTTTTTGAAAAATAAAAAAACAAATCTAATGTATTTAGGTATTAGAAAAATGAATTTTTTGATTTGATAAATGAGTTCTTTATTTTATAGAATAAACAAAAGAAAAAGGGCCCAAAATGGGACTTAAAAAAAATGTGACAATTTTGGCCCAAAATAAAAGTCTAAAAATGGTTTTTTAGGAAAAATAGGAGTCGCCACTTGGTATCGAGTTTAGGTGTACCAAGTCACCTAAAATTAAATTTTAAATAAAAAATAGATAAAACTCTTTTTAGATGACTCCAGGTCTTTGGAAACAAAAGAAAGGGTTCGAGAGTCATGGTTGAAGAAAGGGAAAGTAAGCATAAAATCCAAAACACCCTTTCGACCTAACTAAGACTAGTTGCGAGATTTAGTCGAAAAGTTTTCCTAATCTAACTTATAGACTTATCACATTGGGATGTTTCTACATGGATGCAAAACCTAAACCTATGAAGATATCGGGGGGGTCGAAATATCTTTTCGAAATTTAATTGGTGTCAATCGCATTAATTGTGATGCCCAAGAATGATTCTTTGAAAAGGCAGAAACCCATAAAACAAATAACCAAAACCCAATAAAAAATAAACAAACCCACCATCAAAACCCAATTAAATTAAACCTGATCCAATTCTCATCTAAATTTTTTTATTAAAACCTAACAAGATAATAAAATAACTAAAAATTATTAAAACCTAATTATACCATAAAATCCAGAATTAATCTACCCAACAACTCACTGAAAATATAAAAGGAGGATTAAAAAGGGCAAAATTGGTTCAAATATTCAGAATTTGGGCCATAGTGAAATTAGTTAGAAATTCGGGGGGCAAAAATGTAAATTGCTTAAGATTTTTCATGCAAGCTTCGCATGCTTCCTTTCTTCTGCAATTTTTCTGGGTCTTCATGTCAAAACAGAGGGAACCAAAATCCAAACAAGCCTCGAACTTTCAAACCAAGACAATGATATCACATAATCCTAACATCAACATCCGACCTTATTACATAAATATCATATCTTTAATCAAAATCAAACCAAGCCTGAGCTAAATGATGCACAACAGGAAGAACAATGTCAAAGGCAAGCAACAGTACAAGAAAGCCTTGATGGAATGGGTCAAGATTTAAGCTTATATGGAGATGAAGCAAGCAAAAAGAAGCTACCTTTTGATGAGTGGATGCAATAAACTTCGAAGGAAGATGAACCTAAGAGCGGTAAAGTGAAGCTGCAAAACTTCCAGGTAGGGTGGGCAAAACTATCCGCTAAACCGAAAATCCATCATATCCGATCCGATCCGATCAGAAAATTAGAATATTCGATTTTTATTATTTGATCGGGTCAAAAGAGGGTCGGGTACCTGCTAAGATGCGGGGCGGGTTAGGGTAACATAATTAAAAACCCGCGGGTACCCGATCCGCCCCGCATATATATATTTATTTTTATTTTTATTTTTATACACACACTATAAAACAATAAGAACTAAATAAGTAATTTTATTGAATAAATTGCATTACAAATATGAGAGACTAGTTTATTTACAAGATTTATTTGTAGAGGCCATGATCTTATATTTTATAGAAAAAAGTTTAATTAATGTGGAACATATATATTAAAACTTGTGCTACTTATTTCAAACTTTTATTGATTTCGAATTCTTTTAATTTTTTTCTCTTATCTTATATTTTCTTCACATGCTTGTTTCTTGGTGGGAAACCTTTTTTTAGAAAAAAAATATTTCTTAAATCTTAGATGAATGTGTAAAATATAAAATTAAATTGGTATAAATTATTTTTTTAAAAATTAAATGATAAATGGGGCGGGGCGGATACCCGTCGACGCGACCCTATCTCAGCGGGTACCCGATTATAGGCTATCCGCTGATATGCGGGGCGGGTAAGGGTCAAAAAATGGCTAACTTGCAAGGTGCGGGTCGGATCAGCTAAATGGTGAATGGGACGGGTACCCGACCCGCGCCCACCCACTTCAAGACTGATGATACGATGATTTTCGGCCCAGATTTGAGAGACTTGCAAGCATTTTTTTTTTCAAATATTTGTTGAATAAAAATTGTTCCCTGATAAACGTAGATGGCACAGATATAAAAACATATCCAAAGGAGTAAGACTGAGATAAGATTTGGATCACCAATTGAGCCCAAAAATCAGCCCTAGCTCATGTTTTTCCTCAAAATTTTTCCGCACTTTCCTTTTCTTTTTTTCTCTTGATTTTTCTCTTTTTCTCCCTTTTCTTTCTTGCTCTGCCGCCTCTCTACTCCCTCTTGTTCTTTTTTTTCAGCCTTTCTTTTGCTTTTAAATGCCAAAAACACCTCTCAAACCCTAGAAACAAGGGTGGATATGCAACCTGCTTTGAGGGCCATTTTTGATCCCTTGGATCCATTTTCCAGGTGTCTCAAGATGACATTAGGAAAGATTAGCTGTCCATGTACTTGCTCAAACGTGTCGGATAACGAAAATGGGGGCCAAAAATAAATTGGAACAGGAATTTAATTTAAGTTTTGCAAGTTTAAAATTAATTAGTGCTTGATTTGGAGGATATGAATATCCCGTATTTACCTGAAGAAATTGGTGAAGTTAATCTTCTAAGTTATCTTGGTTTAAGAGGGACAGAAATCAAAAGGCTTCCAATTGCTTTAGGTTACTTGCAAACTCTTGACATTCGGTAGTGGAGGTACCAAATCAAATGTGTTATGGAAGCTTAAAAAGTTTGCAGTAAGTTTTATGCCCATGACACTAGTCGAGGTGTACCACTAAAGTTTGTAACATTGAAGAGTCTCTGAACTCTATGCAATGTGCATCTTGATAGATTGATAGCAAATTAATGTTGTTGCTAACTGGTATGAGGAAATTTTCTGTGTGGAATGTGGATAGATGGGAGGTCAAGAAGTAATGAACTTTTTGATTCAATTGAAAGTTCGATGTATCTGTGGAGTTTGTTATGCCATGAAAGACGGGAAAATCCATCTTTGATTGGACTTTCAAATTTGAGTAATGTTATCAGTGCGGTTACATGAGCTGCCTAATAGTTTTTCCCCTAAACTCTCTCATACGTCGTTTTGTGACTTGCCAATACTGGAGAAGATGGAACATTGGATGATGCTTATGTAGGAGAAGAATTAGTAATTTCTGGAAACGGATTTCGGAATTTGAAGTTTCTTGAGCTCACTGACCTGCTTAATCTGGTACAGATAGATGTTGGGAGTGGCGCAATGCCAGAACTCAACTTAGAAGTGGGACTCCAAGTCCTTAAATAGGAAAAACATAACCATGAATTCTACTCTGATCATAATATTAAAACATGACTCAACTCTAAATCAACTGTGATATCAAATATAATATAGGTATCAAATAATAAATCAATTTCTAAAACTATTAAAATTTTAAATATGTTTGGTTTAAAATATGTGAATAGAAAAATTGTTGCGTATGTTCATGCACGGCCGATTGATTGTTTGAGTAAAACATTTCCTTTTTCTTTTTAATCTGCAGAGATGCATTCTATGGTTTCTCTTACTATTAGAGAAAGGGAGAATTGAATTCTGTGCTGCTTTACGATTCTTAAAAGAGAAAGGGTAAAAAATTTGGACTAAAGAAACTGCATAAGCTATTGTTGTTCGGACCTGGAAACATGGCATAAAGTTGACTGTAGCCTTTTGCGTGCCAAATAATTTTTTATATGGCACTCTCCTAAAACAAGCAATCTGCCCTTCTTTTTTCTGTTTTTTGAGAATTTCCCACATCTCACAACCTGATTAATGTAAATCCATTTAAATCAAAACCTGCTTTCTTTTGCCTGGAGTAGTTGCTCTTGTTTAAGAAGCTGAAGGACAAAACCGGAAGGAAAAATGGGACTATGGAATCGCAGCTCTCTTCTAAGATCAGTCAAAACAAAACGACAACTGGACCATTGGCAAATATTCGATTCAGTGAGGTTGGAGACTTGGAATCATCCTTTACGTACCAACTGAATGTAGATATCTTGTAAATTTATTGATTCCTTGCCTATAGACAAGATATAGAGTTGCATAATAGTTTGAGACTTGGAATCATTTCCACCTGTAAATTATATCATATAATATGTTCTTCATTGTTGTAATTGGGTATGTTGATTGGCTAAACATCTTAGTAAGTATAGTAGTAGTGATACCAAAATGCACATCTTTCATTTAATTTGGTTCTATTTATTTATTTATTTATTTTCGTCCGTTCTCAATGAAATCAGGAAATCAAGTTTAAGAAAGAAAAAGAAATTGACAATCAAGAAAAAGGCAGAGGTAAATGATAGAAAATCAAGTTGAAGATTGAGATAGGAATCTTACACCATCGTTTTTTCCCCCCTCTTTAAAGGTAACTTGGTTATGTTGTGTTGAAAATATGCTAAAGGTAACTTGTTATCGTGAAATCCCAGTGCTTGAAAAACAGAGTTAAAGAACATATGCTTGGAATCATCTTTTACGTACAAATTGAATATAGATTTCTTGTAAAGTCATTGATTCCTTACCTACAGACAAGATATACGGTCTTTGCATTAGCCACTTCTGCTTTATAAAAATGTGTAGAAAAACAGATGCAGATATTAATCTGGCTTTGCAACTGCACTTGAAATATAAGAGCCTCTCCTCCATTTCTGGTTCTTACTCTTTTATTGAGAAGCAAAGCTCTCTTAGATTAGATGGCTGACCCTGTTACCTCTCTTGTAATTGACCCTGTTATCTCTTTTGTTGTTGAGAGAACTGGCGAACTGCTGATTCAAAAAATTGTTTTCCTGAAAGGCGTTCGACGACAAGTTGAGAGGCTCAAAAATGATCTGGAGCGGATGCGGTGTTTCCTGAAAGATGCTGATCACAAGCAAATTAAATATGAGAGCATCCGCAACTGGGTTTCTGAAATCAGAGCTGCGGCCTACGATGCGGAGGATGTCATTGAGATCTTCGCCAGCAAAATTGAAAGTATAAAAGATAAGGGATTTGTGACTAGATTGGCATATTATCCCTGGCGGATTGTGAGCCTTAACAAGATCGGTAAAGAGATTGAGTCCTTACAGAAAAGGCTCGATGACATAGCCGCTAGCCGCGAAAAATACGATATCAAAAATCTTGGAGAGGGGACGACTACACATGGGGAAGAGCTTCAACGGCTCCGACGGTCATCTCCTCTCAGCGAGGACAAGGATATAGTGGGGTTCGAGGAGATAACAAAATACCTGGTGAAAGAACTTTGGAAAGATGACAGAAACCGCCGTGTGGTTTCAATCGTCGGCATGGGAGGTGCTGGTAAGACAACTCTTGCCAAAAAAGTTTATAACCATGCTGACGTCACGAAGAGATTCAAGTGTCGTGCGTGGGTCTGCGTCTCTTCAAGCTACGATTACAAAAAGCTGCTGAGTGCAATCATAAAGCAACTGAATCCAACAACTAAAGAGCTACTTGAAGTGTTGGAAATGATGCAAGAGGAAGACTTGGAACGAAGGCTCTATCAAGATCTACAAGACAAATGTTATCTTGTGGTGCTTGATGATGTATGGGAGGTAGCAGCGTGGGATAATCTTGCCAGGAGGGCCTTTCCTGATGTTGGCACATCAAGTAGAGTGCTACTTACAAGTCGCAAACGGGATGTTGCCCAACACGCAGATGCTCTTAGCAAACCACATGAGCTGAAAACTTTGGGGGAGGAAGACAGCTGGCATTTGTTCCTCAAAAAGGCCTTAGTCCATGAAGCTAATGCTGGGTGTCCTCCGGATTTGGAAGCAGTAGGCAGAGAGATTACCAGAAGATGTGGTGGTCTGCCGCTGGCCATCACGGTTATAGGTGGCCTGCTACTGGGCAAGAAAAGGTGGAAGAGTGAATGGGAGAACGTTCTCAACGACTTTGGCGCATACCTATCAAGGAGCCAGAGTGAAGCAGGGGAAATTAATGAAGCAGGGGCAATTCTGGAATTAAGTTATGCAGACCTCCCTACCAATCTGAAATTTTGCTTTTTGTATTTGGGTTTGTTTCCCGAAGACTCCGTGATTTCTGTGCGCAAGTTGATCCATATGTGGGTTGCTGAGGGAATAATGCAGAAAAGAGATGCAAAAAAATTGAAGGAAACTGCAGCATATGAAGATGTGGAACGACTTTGTAGCAGAAATATGGTCCAAGTGGCGGAAATGACTGCTGATGAGAGGATTAAAAGCTGCAGAGTCCATGATTTGCTGCGAGACCTTGCTATCAGAAAGGCAGAGGATGAAAATTTTTTTCAGATCCATGGCACCAGAGATGATCAAATATCAGCCAAATCCAGGTACCTTGCTGTTCATAGTCTCCCTCTAGAAAAAATTTATTTTGGGACTTCGACCCCTCCTCTCCGGTCTCTACTTTTTTTCAATGGCCATGGTGACAGGGAAAACATTAGTCTTATCTTCAAAAGTTTTAAAAAGCTTAGGATACTAGAACTAGACCTAGACCTTGAGGATGTTGGTATGTACTTTAATTTGCCAAAAGAAATTGGTGAAGTCAGGCTCTTAAGGTACCTCGGTTTAAGAGACGCATCCATTAGAAGGCTCGCACCCATTAGAAGGCTCCCTAATTCCGTCGGTTGCTTGCGATACCTACAAACTCTTGACATACGGGGCCGCTTTGATAGGACTGTGAAAGTTTCAAATTTCATTTGGAAGCTTGAAAGTTTACGGCATCTATATGCGTATAAATTGGAATGTGATGTGCCTCTTAAGATTGAAGGATTGAGGAATCTCCAGACTCTGTCAGGCATACGCTTTGAGGACGTTATGCACAATAACATGATAACTTTGACAAGTCTTCGGAAACTGGGGATTTGGGTGGATGAAAGGTCAGAGATAGACAAACTCTGCATGCATTTATCTGAGGTTGGAAGCCTAAAGACTTTACATCTTTACCGTGCTATAGGAAGCGAGTGGCCATCTCTAGCTGGACTTTCTAAGCTCCATCATGTAACAGAGCTTAAGCTTAAGCTACCCACTTCGCTGCTTGCTCGGACAATGCTGGCTCCTGATTTCCCTCCAAATCTCTCTCGCTTGTCTTTGAATCTCACATTCTTCAGGGATGACCCAATGCCAGTACTGGAGAAGTTGGGACAGCTGTCGTTCCTCAAACTGAAATCTGCTAGTTGGGGACCACAGCATATGGTCATTTCTAGGCATGGGTTTCACCAATTGAAATTCCTTGGGCTCAGCCGCCTGTATAGTTTGGAAGAAATAAAGGTGGAGGAAGGTGCACTGCCACAGCTCCGGTGCCTGAGAATCAGGGACTGCAGTAAATTACAGAAATTGCCGGAAGAGCTGAAGCACATATCTAGTCTTGATGCGCTTGAGCTTGTGGACATGCCAGAAGATTTCATCAGTGGGCTTGATGCGGACACAGTATCCAGTGTCCCTAACCTCAGAATATTTTGACTCTAGAATCTAAGTCCATATTTGTATTTCGAGCATAAAAAGGAAGGTGTGTTGTGTAGTGATTAATGAAATTATTTCAAGTTTTTATGAAAATACATAAATAAAAAGAATGTTTCCGTATTTGTTTTCCCCAATTCACAAGGTTTTTAAGTCCTTTGTTTTTTTTTAATTATTTGAAATCTCACACCTCAATGCTTGCTTTGTTAATTGTCCCACTATTATTAAACAAGGAATGACTCTTTTGTTATTAATGATATTTTGGGCAACTAATAGTACCTTACATATATCATATCATAAAAAATACTATAGTAATTATTTCAAATAATCTCCTATACAAATCTGTGTACTTTTACCTCTATCCTCTCATTTATTTATTCTCTCTACTGAGCGGCCCCTGCTTCACCTTATATTGTACCATTGTCTAAATTTCAGTGCAGTGATTAATAAAATTAGTTCCAGTTTTTATCAAAATATATAAATAAATTCCAGTTCCTTAGTTTGTCATTATTTTAATCTTTATTTCGCCATATAATTCAGACCAACTGACAAGCTTTTTTAAGTACTCCAATTTTTTTTTTTTTTTTTAAGTTTGGGTAACTGACATTTACACCTATGTCTTAAAGGATTTGTGTCTCTATCAATTTACATTCCTGATAGTAAACCCTTGGGATTTGGAAATTTTTAAACTCTTGATTGATCATAATTTTTCCCATTCTGTCCGAACAGAAAAAGAGAGTAAAGAAACAAAAGCCTCTGTTCAGGTACTAAAAGAGAAGAAAAGAACGAATTTAACAAATAAATCAAGGAATGTGTTTATGGAATAATTGACAATTGAAAGCGTAGGAGTAAAAATTGAGATGATTTTAAATAAAATAATTTACTTCACAAATTCTAATAACCTTTTTATCTTTTCAATCACTTTTTCATTTCACATACGTCGCATCACAAAAAGTGTTACAGTAATTATCTCAAATAAATCATCCAAATAAACTCCTATCCAAACAAATCAAATGTTTAAAACAAATTAATACCTCTTCGTTTTACCAACACTGAATAGGGCCATGTTCAAGTACCCATTGAAGTCAATTACCAGATTAATCAAAAGAAAGAAAAGGTATATATTTACTGAAATTGAGGATTGATTGCTTCCTATATCTACTCACTACACACAAGAAGTAAAAGAAAGAAAACAAATTTAAACATGCGAAAAGCAAATAACAAGCTGTTCAACGAAGTTATTTGGGATAATAAATGTTCAAGGGGAAAAAATTAGTGAAGGGAAGATTTCTGAATACGGGCACAAGTGCAGTCTATTTATTATGAAAGGCATTTATAATAATTCTTATGCACAATTTTTTTTTCTTGTGTTCGTAGTAATTTTTTTACAAAAATCTATACAAATGTCATGTATAATAGATAGTCCACTGTCTATAAGTTTGTCACTTTTAATTTTTTGTGATTACATAACATGTACTGCCTTGAAGGAAATGTATACAAGTTTGGCACTTCCTCTGAATTCTTCGTGATTACATAACATGCATTGCCTTGAAGGAAATGTATATACTTCACGAAAAAGCCAAGCATAATTTTGCTTATAAAGAAATTTTTATTTTTTTTTTGTGAATTACTGGAATGAAAAGAACATTATAAAATGAAGGGTTAAGCACAAAAACTCCCCTTAGAATTTGGTCAAAGTTTTTTTTTTTTTTTAAGAATTTGGTCAATGTTGTAGCTTACATCTAAAGTTTATTTCTTTTCACTTTACCTTCCATTTCAGTCTAACCCATCAAGTTAACTGTGAAAATAGTTGAGTTGATGAAAATGCCCTTTTACATGCCCTTTTACATGGTTTAGAAGGAAAGAATTTAAGAATTTTGGATGTTCAAGTTACAAGACATGATTTTTCACCATAGAATAATTTTTTTTTAATCTTTAGGATAAAATAAAGTGGCATATTAATATTTTTTCTGTCCAAATCATCATGCATGTAATAATTTAAGTGGAGAGACCCTGAATTTTGTGAAAAGGAAGAAAATTATATGTTCATTGAAATGCCTAATCAAATCTTCTTTCTACCTTCAATAAGATGACTGGATAAATTATTGAAAAATTTGATCATAAGTATGCAAATGTTGTTTTTAAAACAATATTTTCAACTTCAAGTCAAGATATATAGCTCATGTTTTGAAAAAAAAAAAAAAAAAGGGATTCCAAACTTGAATATGAATGATATCTCATATATCTAGAGCCTCTCGTGTTACACTAACATAAGGTGTAGCCCTGAATCTCAATGCAGAGCAGGGCAATCAAGCTGAAGAAAGAAAAAATGCCCAAAAATGATAGAGCTTCTTGCCATTTTGCTTCACGTTATTTATAGCAGTATTTTTATCATATTCAATTAAGGAAAAAGGAATGTTTGCTGAAATTGAACTAAACATCAGTTATAAATAGTTTGAAGTAGATTGGTGTATATTTACTTATTCACGTAGTAATGACATTACTGTATTATAAAAGGAAACCTGGGACAAAAGTATCATTGGATTTCATCATTATCATTATCATTATCATTACGCATTAGAGAGTGTAAGCACTTTTTTATCTTAATTTTTGTTATCACCAAATTACCCTTATGTCTTTTAATTAAAATTATTGCATTTCAATGTGACACTAATTAAAAGAAATAAAACGCTCCAATTGATTACATTTCAATAGTATTGGTGATTATAATTAAAAATTGCTCATTAAAAACTATTTACCTACGCTTGGACTCCATCTCTCATTATTATACGTATCAAAATTTCTTAATCGAAGCATGAAAACTTTCTCATTAGTCATTAGTTGAGATTGTATAAAAAAAATCAATGTAAAAAAGTAGATACTCTCTAAAAAAAAAAAGAGAGAGAGAAATATACAAGAAGAAGAAAGCCCTTATTCATCTATATATCTTTATACAAATATCACAAGCAAATTTCACAATTATGCACGTTTTACCAATGAGATAATATCAGAAACCTCCCATGAGGTTTCTCCTAATATTACTTGGAACCCTTGAGGTTTTAGAAATATCACTTACCTCCCTTACTTTTGTTATTTGTGCAACAAAATTTTAAAAACCCTAAACTGAGGGTTCATTACTGCCTATACACCACTCAAAACACAAAGGTGTAAAACAAAAGGAACATACTCAAATGTGCGTAAAGGAAATAACAAACTGTCCATCTACGTTGTTTGGAAATAAAGATTGAAGAGGAAAAAGATTGTTGGCTATCTATTATGAAAGGTACTTGTACTTAAATTTTGTGTTTCTTAAAGATGGTACTTTACTTTCTAGCTACTAACACAGCACTCACAATTTACAGAATTGTCTGTCTAAATTACATCATACCTTTTCCATTCAAGGAAGATTAACCCACAGCTAAAGTTTAGGGATACATCCAATAAGAAATCTTTTCCTCTTAGTTTTACTCCAAAAAGAAAAACAAGTGATAGCATATTTGTGTAAATCACTGTCATAATATTTGTGTAAAAGTGATTGAGCATTTTATGCAGTGGCCATAACATACAAAATTAATTGCTCATACAGAATTATATAAAGAAATAAATCTCAAATGGCCCCTACATATTTATAAGCTGTGTTTCTTCTACAAAACTTTTAAATTAAGAAGCAGTTTTAACACCTATTTTTAGACCCGTGAAAATGGAACTTTTAAAGCAAGTTGTGTACTTCAAACTTACAATCTTGAATTATGAATCGTTGATTGATTGATCAAACATAATATTTTGTTGGATACTTACATTTTTCCTTTTACTTGACAAGTCTTTGAATTTTCTGAAAACTAGTTCAAGTAAAGCTAAAACTTCTTTCAGAAAAATCTAAAAAACAAGACGTAAAACCTTCCTGGTACAACGGTTTCTCCAAAGAAAACAAAACAAAATAAGAACTCTGTCACTCCTGGTTCAACGGTTTCTTCAAAGATGGAGTGCCCATATGCAGTCCGATTTCTGCATTCGTTGTAAAAATTAAAAGTTTAGTGTTTTTGTGTTATGTTAGCATCTACATTGGATATTCTCATTTTGTCTTCAATATTTATATTCTAGATTTGTATGTCTACATCATAGTTGTAAAATTTGGCTCTACTCAATGATTTAACCGGTTAATTTGATGAACGGGCAACCTAATCAAGTTGGGTCAACAGTTAGATCGAATAGAAAATACATCCATTGATCTGTCAATGACTCGATGAAACAACCAATAAAGTTAAAAATTATTGGTTGAACCACTAATTTAAAAAATCAAAATATATTATTATATCATATAATATAGTTATTAGTTAGACCAGTCAATCTACAATTGGACAAACAACCAGTTGAACAGGTTTCTTATCCCCATTCCCCCACCAAAACCTAGCTATTTAGGAACAGATTTCCTTGCACAGTCCTTTGGGTAATTTAAAACAAGACATAATGTAGGTTGGCATTAGCATGAGCACTGATTTGATTAGGACCTCTTTCCCTCCTTGACTTAGAGTCTTCTGCTTCCACCCTTGCATCATCCTGTTGGTTTTACTTTTTAAATATCCAAATACCTAGTTCTTCGACCTTCCTATAGTCATTGGAGGCCTAAGTATTTCCCATTGCATGTCTCCCTCATGTTGTCTGACACTTCACTGATCTCCAATCTTGACTGGCTTGGAGTATTCTTGCTAAAATACATTACTGATTTGTCAAAATTAACAACTTCTCCAGAAGCCTGTCCATACAGTTCAAGAATCTCCTTCAACTTCATAGCTTCCTGCTTGCTCGCTTTGCAACACAAAAAGGAATCATCTACAAAGAACAAGTAAGAGACCATGGGGCTATCTCTACAATTTTTATGCCAGTGATTTCTTTTGCTTCCACAGCTTTCTCGAGTAAATTAGATAGCCCTTCAGCACAGATAATGAACAAATATGGAGACAAAGGGTCATCTTGAGTAAATTGGAATTCGCTGGCCTTTTGATTCTTGCGAGGAGCCTTCTCTGAAGCTAATCCTTTCTCATTTGTTGGGACAGGAATTCTGTTGCAGGTCAGATGCTTGTTTTTTGTCTTGTTTGCTTTTTCCTTTTGTCGTACATCCTTTATTTAGTTGCCATTTTTGCTTTTCCGTTTTTAGTTCATGCATGAGTTTCTCCTCTGCGTAATAGCTGTTAGCTCGCATGTAAGAGTTGCCATGCATGGTTTAAAAAATTTATGCTCTGTTCTTTTTCCTTCTTCCTTTTTTGCAACAGAGCTGGTATGCATGCATGTTTTTTATTTCATTGTATGATATATCTTATGTTGTTCTTTACAGCAGTTTGTAAATGTTGTTTTTGTTCTTCTTTACAATGATTCTACTATAGTTTTTGGTGGCTATTGTAAATTGCCATTGGCTGGTTTTTTTTTGGACTGGTGGTTCTTAGTCATTTAAGTCAGGTGGATAGAAATAATATTCATCAAAAATGGTATGTTGAAATGTCACAGAGTGAGATGGCCGCGCTTTCATGTCGGAGGCGCGAAGCCAGGCTTTTGGAAAAAAAGGGAGAAATCCTCACGCTCTTATATTCATAGGGTACCGTTTGGCTACATAGAAACCGGTGTTTGTTTTCCTGGTTCTACTCTTGAGGGTGATAGCAAGCTACTCTTGAAGGCTGTGGTTTTACTCCTCAAGGTATATGTGCCATTGTAGTATTTTACTCATCTATTCTGTATCTGTTAGTTTATTTAGCCTTGCGTCAGATCATTATCTTTGAATGGCTTCACGTTTCTGTGCCATTTACGATTGAAGCCATCTATTTTTGCACATTGCAGTAGCTCCATTAAATGACATAGTTCAGGTTACAAAAGGTCAACCAGAATCTATTGCTGGAAAAAAAAAAAACGGTGTCTTCTCATCTTTGGCCTAAAGTTTGGCCTTCTGCTAATGATCAGCCTTCTTAGCACATTCATAGAGAAGTCTTACCTAAAGGATTGCCTGACCTTTTAGATAACATTACAGTCTTCAATGAGAATGAACAAACTTGTGATTCTCAAAATGACAACCAAATAACATCTTTGAATCTTTGAAGGACTCAAACTCTGGAATCCTTAACTCTTTGAACACTCCGTCTTTAAATTGTTTGTCCAGAGACTGTGTTTCCTCTTCTATTGCATTGAATCCCTGATCTTTCAGCATTCCGCGAGGTAGAGATATTACTGCATTCAACAAATCATTCTTCTTGATTTTCTTATTCAGTCTTTAGTATCGTTGTCTTTCATAAACTATTCTGATATAAATAAGGCCGTCTATTTATACACGTTGCAGCAACTGCATTCAATGATAGAGCTCAGCGTTAGAAATGTTAGATAGACACTAATGCTGGAAAATGGAAAAAAAAAGGGACATCTATCTTTTGATTCCTTACCTAATGACCAGCCTTGTAAGCGGAGGCATGGAAATGCATTGTCAAAGGCATGGTCTCCTGTTTCAGAAGTTAACATTGTGATCTCTGATGACGATGAACAAACCTGTGGTGCTCGATGTTAAAATACAGCTAACATCTTTGAACCCACGCGGAACTTGAATTCTAAAATTCTTGGTTCTTTGAAGAGTCCATTTTTGAACTGCTCGTCAAATGACTGTATTTCTTCAACTACTACATTGAATCTCCAGTCTTCTAGTACTTCTCAAGATACAAATATGATTATATGTACCAATTATTTTGCTTGCTTTTCTTGTTCAATCTCCGGTACTTAAAAAAAATTCTTCTCCACTTTAAGATAATGTTGTGTCTTTTGGGCACCTTATTAGAATTTGCCATTGCAGACATCCTATCGATTCAGAAAAATGTGGTGGTTCATTCTCAAATAATCAATGATGTGTCGACTAACAAAGATGGGACCAGCAAATCATCTGATATTCCTGTTGGTTTTACAACTCGAACGAAGGATCGTACAAATGTTATGCCGACAAGAACGACGCAGTCAGGTTAGTTGATATGTAGGTTATGCTGAAAGGGGGCAAAAACGCTTCATCCTTGTTGGGGAGCATATCGTATATGTGATGAATATGTATTTCTGTCCTTGAAATATTAAAAAAAAAGAGCAGCTGCTTATAAAATCCTTGAGCATTAACTGCATTAAGCTTCATTATGCTACTATTTGATCATTTGTTTCAGGAGGGCTCCCGCAATATATGTTAACATTTTCTCTTGGGAAGCTATGGGGCAAGTTTCTCTTGCTACTGTTACTGACTGTCCATTTGAGTATCAATGTTAATTATTATATATTCTAAGCTGTATAATATTCTGCAGATCTTGGCAGATGCAATGGGGCTTGGGAAAACTGTGATGACTATTGCTCTGATTCTTGCAAGGCAAGGCAGAGGTACCCTGAGGATCAAGAATCGATTGCCAAAAGTGAGAGTGATACAGAGTACATCAAGAAAAAGAAAAAGGAATCTGATCTCAAACCTTTTAGAAAAGTGAAAGGTGGCACCCTCATTATTTGTCCTATTGCGTTGCTTGGCTCGTGGAAGGTGAGTCCGTATAATATATTTGATTCAGCCAGAATAACAAAGTTTTCTGAGTTTGTATGCATTCTGAATAGGTTTAGCTGCATTGTTCTGAAACTGCATTACTGATTTTCTGATCGGATGTTAGTTAATGGATAGGCACAAGGATATACTGTCATCTTCTCTGAATAAGAATTTACTGAATGAACAGGATGAACTTGAAACACGCTCAAAGCCAGATAGTATCTCCATTTCTGTCTTTATTGGTGGAGATCGGAGCAGTGACCCTAGAGTGATTGCTGAACCTGACGTGATCTTGACCACATACGGTGTCTTAACGGCTGCTTGTAAGAATGTAAGCTAGCTATTTCCATTTTTTGTTACTTTCCACCACTGAAATCCATTTACTTGCAGCTTATACGAATGAAAAGCTGGCCATTTCCATTTTTTTAGTTTCCACCACTTAAATCCAATTGCTAATGCTGCTTGTTCTTTTCCCCTGTTGGAACATTTTTAATGATTACTATTTTATATGTTCGACACAGGATGGGGAGAATAGCATTTTCCACAGAGTTGACTGGTACAGAGTGGTTTTGGATGAAGCTCGTACCATCAAGTCCTCTAAAACTCTGGGTGCCCAGGCTGCCTTCAAATTGTCATCCTATTGCAGGTGGTGTCTTACTGGTACCCCTCTTCAGGTATGGCAGCAGCAAAGAATTCTGGCATTAGTTGAACAAGTGCCCTGATTGTTATTAAACCGCTGGCTATTGTCTAGCATGTATCAATTAAGGTCATTATCAATTGCTGCAGAACAAGTTGGAAGACCTTTATAACCTACTTTGCTTCTTGCACGTTGAACCATGGTGTAACTAGGCTTGGTGAGCTTTTTTTTTTTTTTTTTTGACAATTTTATGGCTGATGCTCGAGATGATTTAAAAACAAGCAATTACTATTCAGTTTTTGCGTTACATTTCCTAGAAAAATTGTTCAAAGAGTTAAAGATGGCCAAATCTTTTTTTTTTTTGGTTTATTATTATTTTTTTAATCAACATTATAATGCAAATGAGCTTGTTCCCTCGCTCTTCCCATTTGCTGAAATTTGTTTACTGCTTGTTATAGGTGGCAAAAACTGATTCAGAAGCCATATGAGAGTGGTGATTATAGAGGGATGATGCTGATCAAGGCTATTTGGAGGCCACTAAAGCTCTACTATTTACAGACAGAAGTAATTATCATTTCTTTTTATGTAATAACTGTTTCCTTCTATTTCTTCAACAGCTTATAGTACTTTCTTTTTTAATCTCCACCAAAATGTAGATTTAACTCAACATCTCATGACTACTCTATAGGGAAATATGGTTATATGCTACATCAAGCCTTCTCCTCCTAGATTTAGACTGATCAGATATGTAGCTCATGAAATAATCACTACCTATGGATGAAGCTCTCAATATTGACAACCTCAACAATCTCAATATTAACGACTGACAATCTATTTGTTGTGTTATTTTTACTTGTACCCTTGCTACACCGACAATCTACAATCTACTTATTGTCTGTTTTTAGTCATAACTTTACTACATCAAAAGCCTATTATGTCCTTTATTATACTTTTCGATCTCATTTATTTCTATTTTCTAGATCCTCATTAGCTTATTGAGCAAAATTAGGCATGCCAGTCTTTGAGCGGTGTACACCTCCTAGTTAAAATCCTAATTAGTTAATTGGTGGTCCATCATTTCGAATACCGCGTTGAAGTCAAATCCGCGTATCAAAACAATTCCGCCTTCCATTCCACCGTGTGTATCGAACTGCTTTGTTTTTGACTAAAATAATTGCTCTTGCACAAGTCAATGAAGAATTACGGATAAAACTGGAAGAGAAAATGAACCACGAGAAGAATCCATCCTCTCTTCTGAGATCAGTTAAAACAACAGCTTGTTGAAAGCAAAGCTCGCTTCCGGCTTAACCAAGATGGCTGACCCTGTTATCTCTCTTGTTGTTGAGAGAACTGGCGATCTGCTGGTTCAAAAATTTGTTTTCCTGAAAGATGCTGGACAACAAGTTGAGAAACTCAAAAATGATCTGGTCCGGATGCGGTGTTTCCTGAAAGATGCTGATCAGAGGCAAGATGAAGATGAGAGGATCCGCAACTGGGTTTCTGAAATCAGAGCTGCGGCCTACGATGCGGAGGATGTCATTGAGATCTTCGCCAGCAAAGTTGAGTTCTTCACAAAGGACAAGGGACTCGTCACCAAATTGACGTATTATCCCTTGAAAATTGTGAACCTCTACAAGATTGGTAAAGAGATCGAATCCTTACGGATGAGGCTCAAGGAGATTGCTGATAGCCGCGTAGAGTACGGTATCAAAAATCTTGGAGAGGGGATGACTACACATGGAGAAGAGCTTCAACGGCTCCGGCGGTCCTCTCCTTTCAACGAGGACAGGGATATAGTGGGCTTCGAGGAGAAAACAAAATCCCTGGTGGCAGAACTTTTGAAAGAGGACAAAAGCCGCCGTGTGGTTTCAATCGTCGGCATGGGAGGTGCTGGTAAGACAACTCTAGCCAAAAAGGTTTATAACCATGCTGATGTCAGGGAGAGATTCAGCTGTCGTGCTTGGGTATGTGTCTCTTCAAGCTATGATCACAAAAAGATACTGAGATCAATCATAAAGCAATTAAATCCAAAGGATGACAAGCTATATGAAATGTTGGAAAAGATGGAAGAGGAAGAGTTGGAAGAAAGGCTCTATCAAGATCTCCAAGACAAATGTTATCTTGTGGTACTTGATGATGTATGGAAGGAAGTAGCGTGGGATTGTCTATCCAGGAGGGCCTTTCCTGATGTTGGCACATCAAGTAGATTGCTGCTTACAAGTCGCAATCGGGAAGTTGCCGTACACGCAGATGCTCTTAGCATCCCCTGTGAGTTGAAAAGTTTGGGACAGGAAGACAGTTGGCAGTTGTTTCTCAAAGAGGCCTTAGGTCATGGAGCTAATGCTGGGTGTCCTCCGGATTTGGAAGGAGTAGGCAGAGAGATTGCAAGGCGATGTGCCGGCCTGCCGCTGGCCATAACGGTTATAGGTGGCCTGCTACTGCGCAAGAAAAAGTCGAAGACTGAATGGAAGAACGTTCTCAACAACTTTAGCGCACACCTATCGAGGAGCCTGAGTGAAGCAGGGGCAATTCTGGAATTAAGTTATGCAGACCTTCCTGCCAATCTGAAATTTTGCTTTTTATATTTGGGTTTGTTTCCTGAGGACTCCGTGATTTCTGTGCGCAAGTTGATCCATATGTGGGTTGCAGAGGGAATAATGCAGAAAAGAGATGCAAAAAATTTGGAGGAAAGTGCAGCATATGATGAAGTGGAACGACTTTGTAGCAGAAATATGGTCCAAGTGGCGGAAATGACTGTTGATGATAGGATTAAAAGCTGTAGAGTCCATGATTTGCTGCGAGAGCTTGCAATCAGGAAGGCAGAGGATGAAAATTTTTTTCAGATCCATGACACCAGAGATGATGAAATATCAGCCAAATCCAGGTATCTTGCTGTTCATAGTCTCCCTCTGGATAAAAATTATTTTGGGTCTTCGACCCCTCCTCTCCGGTCTCTGCTTTTTTTCAATATCCACGGTTACATGGAAAACATTAGTCTTAGCTTCAAAAGTTTCAGAAAGCTTAGGATACTAGACCTTGAGAATGTTGAGATGGGTTATAATTTGCTAGAAGAAATTGGTGAAGTCAAGCTTCTAAGGTACCTCGGTTTAAGAGGCACATCCATTCCAAGGCTCCCTCGTTCCGTCGGTTGCTTGCGATACCTACAAACTCTTGACATGCGGAACTTTAAATCGAAAGTGAAAGTTTCAAATTTCATTTGGAAGCTTGAAAGTTTACGGCATCTATATGCGTATGATATGGAATGTGATGTGCCTCTTAAGATTGAAGGATTGAGGAATCTCCAGACTCTGTCAGGCATACGCTTTGAGGACGTTATACACAATAACATGATAACTTTGACAAGTCTTCAGAAACTGGGGATTGTAGTGGATTACAGGTCAGAGATAGACAAACTCTGCATACATTTATCTGAGGTTGGAAGCCTAAAGACTTTACATCTTTATTGTAATACAGAAAGCGAGTGGCCATCTCTAGCTGGACTTTCTAAGCTCCATCATGTAACAGAGCTTAAGCTATTCACTTCGCCGTTTGCTCGGACAATGCTGCCTCCTGATTTCCCTCCAAATCTCTCTCGCTTGTCTTTGAAAGGCACATTCTTCAGGAATGACCCAATGCCAGTACTGGAGAAGTTGGGACAGCTGTCGTTCCTCAAAATCGAAGTTGCATATGAGGGACCACAGCATATGGTCATTTCTAGGCATGGGTTTCACCAATTGAAATTCCTTGAGCTCAACAACCTGTATGGTTTGGATGAAATAAAGGTGGAGGAAGGTGCATTGCCACAGCTCCAGCGCCTGAGAATCAGGGACTGCCCCGATTTAGCAAAGTTGCCGGAAGAGCTGAAGCACATAACTAGTCTTGATGCGCTTGAGCTTGTGTCCATGCCAGAACATTTCATCAGTAGGCTTGATGCGGACACGGTATCCGGTGTCCCTAACCTCAGAATATTTTGACTCGCAGAAGGAAAGAAGTTGGTATTTGTATTTCGCGCATAGAATGGAAGGTATGTCGTGTAGTGATTAATAAAATTATTTCAAGTTTTTATCAAAATACATAAATAAAAAGAATGTTTCCGTATTTGTTTCCCCCAATTCACAAGCTTTTTAAGTCCTTTTTTTTTTTTAATTATTTGAAATCTCACACTTCAATGCTTGCTTTTGTTTGGGCAACTAACAGTGAGGATTTGTCTTTCTATAAATTTACATTGCATATATCATATTAATACAAGTAGTAATTAAAAAAAAAACAATTCAAGTCTTCCGTGGGCCTCAAAAACCCTGATAGTAAACTCTTGGGACTTGTAAATGTCGAAATCAATAAAAAATATGTAGAGTTATTTGGTTGATTCTAATTTTTCCAATGCTGTCCAAACCGAAAAAGAGAATAAGGAAATAAAAGGCCCTATTCGTGCACTGGAAGAGAAAAAAGAATGAAGTTGGCAAACAAATCAAGAAATTCATCGCATATAAATACTACTCGCTATACAAATAAGATGTAAAAAAAAATTGGTCAATTTTGAGTTTGTAAATGGATACCTTACTAAACTTGGTCTTGAACCATGATTTGACAAAAAAAAAATTATTTACTTGCATCACAAATACAATTTCTATCACACCTTTTCATTTTCTTAATCATCTTTTTATCTGAAATTGAGGATTGATTGCTTTCTATATCTACTCACTACACACAAGAAGTAAAAGAAAGAAAACAAATTTAAACATGCGAAAAGCAAATAACAAGCTGTTCAACGAAGTTATTTGGGATAATATATGTTCAAGGGGAAAAAATTAGTGAAGGGAAAATATTACGAAAGGCATTTATAATAATTCTTATACACCAATTTTTTTTTTCTTGTGTTCGTAGTAATACATTTTTTTTACAAAAATCTATACAAATGTCATATGTAATAGATAGTCCACTGTCTATAAGTTTGTCACTTTTTAATCTTTTGTGATTACATAACATGTACTGCCTTGAAGGAAATGCATACAAGTTTGGCACTTCCTCTGAATTCTTCGTGATTATATAACATGCATTGCCTTGAAGGAAATGTATATACTTCACGAAAAATTCAAGCATAATTTTGCTTATAAAGAAATTTTTATTTATTTTTTTGTGAATTACTGGAATGAAAAGAACATTATAAAAAGAAGGGTTAAGCACAAAAACTCCCTTTAGAATTTGGTCAAAGTTTTTTTTCTTCTCACTTTACCTTCCATTTCAGTCTAACCCATCAAGTTAACCGTGAAAATAGTTGAGTTGATGAAAATGCCCTTTTACATGGTTTAGAAGGAGAGACCTTAAGATTTTTGGATGTTCAAGTTACAAGACATGATTTTTACCATACAATAATTTTTTTTTATCTTTAGGATAAAATAAAGTGGCATATTAATATTTTTTCTGTCCAATATTCATCATGCATGTAATTAATTTAAGTGGAGAGACCCTGAATTTTGTGAAAAGGAAGAAAATTATATGTTGTATGTTCATTGAAATGCCTAATCAAATCTTCTTTCTACCTTCAATCAGATGACTGGATAAATTATTGAAAAAATTGATCATAAGTATGCAAATATATTTTTTAAAACAATATTTTCAACTTCAAGTCAAGATATATACCTCATGTTTTGGGAAAAAAAAAAAAGAGGATTCCAAACTTGAATATGAATGATATCTCATATATCTAGAGCCTCTCGTGTTACACTAACATAAGGTGTAGCCCTGAATCTCAATGCAGAGCAGGGCAATCAAGTTGAAGAAAGAAAAAAATGCGCAAAAATGGAGAAAATGATACCGCTTCTTGCCATTTAACTCCACGTTATTTATAGAAGTATTTTTATCATATTCAATTAAGGAAAAAGGAATGTTTGCTGAAATTGAACTAAACATCAGTTATAAATAGTTTGAAGTCGATTGGTGTATATTTACTTATTCACGTAGTAATGACATTAATGTATTATAAAAGGAAACCTAGGACAAAAGCATCATTGGATTTCATTATTATCATTATCATTACTATATAAAATGTATGAATCTTGGTATTAAAGAATGTAAGCACTTTTTTGTCTTAGTTTTTGTTATTTCCAAATTAACTTTTTATTTTTTAATTAAAATTATTGCATTTCAATGTGGCACTAATTAAAAGAAATAAAACACTCCAATTGATTACATTTCAATAGTATTGGTGATTATAATTAAAAATTGCTCATTAAAAACTACTTACCTACCCTTGGACTCCATCTTCAATTATTATACTTGTATCAAAATTTCTTAATCAAAGTATGAAAAATTTCTCATTAGTCATTAGTTGAGATTGTACAAAAAAAAAAATCAATGTAAAAAAGTAGATACTCTCTAAAAAAAAAAAGAGAGAAATATACAAGAAGAAGAAAGCCCTTATTGATCTATATATCTTTATACAAATATCACAAGCAAATTTCACAATTATGCACGTTTAACCAATGAGATAATATTAGAAACCTCCCTTGAGGTTTCTCCTAATATTAGTTTGAACCCCTGAGGTTTTAGAAATATCACTTACCTTCTTTACTTTTGTTATTTGTGCAAAAAAATTTTAAAAACCCTAAACTGAGGGTTCATTACTTCCTATAAACTACTCAAAACACAAAGATGTAAAACAAAAGAAAAAAAAACTCAAATGTGCAAAAAGGAAATAACAAACTGTCCATCTTCCTGCTTGCTCGCTTTGCAACACAAAATGGAATCATCTACAAAGAACAAGTAAGGGACCATGGAGCTATCTTTACAAATTTTTATGCCAGTGATTTCTTTTGGTTCCACAGCTTTCTTGAGTAAATTAGATAGCCTTTCAGCACAGATAATGAACAAATATGGAGACAGAAGGTCATCTTGATGTAGCCCTCTAGTAAGAGTGACATGTCCTACTTTTTGTCCATTTAGGTTAAAAGAATAAGAAATAGTGGAAAAGCAAACCATGATCCATTTAACAAAAATGGGACAGAATCCCATATGCATCATCATCAATCTCCCTAGAAATTTTCATTCCACCTTATCTTCGCTTTAGACATGTCAAACTTTAGGGTCATGAAGCCTATTTGTAGACACCAAATTTTTAATTTTTAAACTGTGTTTATTTAATTGATTTAATTTTAGCTTTATAGGTTCAATTTTAGGTTTTTTAGTTTATTTATTTATTTTATATTTCTATTTGTTTTTGTTTTTATTTTTGAGTCTCTTATTTTATTTTATTTTTATTTAAAGATTAAAAGCATTTTTCTTTACATACTAAATTTCAGAAAAAAGGAAAAAGGAAAAAAAGAAAAAAACATCAATCAAAATTAAATTTTTTAGGGGCATTTCATTTGTTTGAATTTTATTTTTTTGACTTTTACTGCTTTATTTGTTAGAGGGAAAAAAGAGAAAAATGAATGGTGGAAATGAAAAAGAAAAAGGAAAAGATAGCTTCCACGGTTGCTTGCATTTTGTCTATTAAAAAGCCATAATCAATGGCTAACAATAAGGGGAGGAGCTGAGGTTTTTTCTGAGTCATTGATAAGGTTTAAGGGGTTTGGATGGGATATAAAAGAAAAGGCTAAGGGTTCAAGGAAAAGGGGGCGGCTGAAGTCGGAGAAAGAGGAGAGGGTAGATGGGTGACGGCTGAAAATCTGGGGCTGGAGAGAAAAAGGGAAGAGTGAGAGATACAGCGAGAGGGAGACCGAGAGCAAAAGATAGGTTACGGGCTGAGCATGGTTCGAAGACTCGGCCGAGACCGAGACGACTCGGCCGAGTCGTCTCCGTCTCGGCCTAGTCCGAGACGATACCACGACCGAAACGTTCCGAGATACGTGATAGGTTGAGACGTCACCGTGAAGGGTTGAAACGGCGGAGTCACACCAAGTCACTCCGAGTCATCCCAAGTCAACTTGAATTTTTATTATTTTTATTAATTTTAAATTATTTTTGCTTATCATATTTTTTACAAATTTTAGAATATTAAATATTTTAAAAATTTGTGTCTCACTGAGACCGCAACCGATATGCCGAGACCGATGTGGAACGTTCCGGGCCGCGACCGTGACCGCGACCGCGACTTTGAACTATGGCTGAGGGTTTGAGGAAGAGAAAAAACCCAAGTGAGCGAGAGAGAGCTACGGCTGAGGGGAGAGCTTGGGGGGAAAAGGAGAGAAACGAACGGTAAAAAAAGAAAAGCTTCATAGAGGGAAAGGATAGCTACGACTGAGGAAAAGAAACGGGATCCAAGCAAGGGAGATTGAGAGAGGGTGACAGCTAGAATTTGGGTTGGCGGCTTGAAGAAAGAAAAACCTACGGGCAAAGGAAGGAAAAGCTAAGCTAGAAAGGGGCCGTCGGAACTATTCACTTCAACCGCCATTTCAGCCTTCCATCATCACCGGCATATCTTCACCAAGGTATCTCAGTCATGAACTCACGCCAAGTTTGTATTTTTCTGTTGTTTCTGTTTTGGTTTATGGTTGAGGAACGCATAGGGCTTTGACCTGGGTTTAGGGACAGTAGTTTGATTTCCTCGGTGGGGGGCTCTATGATGAACCTAAGATGCTTTTGTGTTTATGACTGATGTTTGTGACCAGCGAGCCCAGCAAAATTGCAGATCTTTCTTCCTTTTGTCAGATTTGCATAACCATTATTTCTGTTTTTTTCTTCGGTTCCCCGGGTTCGCGTCTGTTTGTATTGAAGTATGTCATCAGATTGATGACTCTTTCATCCTGTTAGCTCCCAGTTATTCGAGTACATGAAGTAAAAGAGAGATTTCTGCTTTTTCCCTTGCACTTCATCTGCGTTTTTTCTTTTTTGCTTCCCAAAGCTGTGTTCATAATCTTCTTAATGGAAATCAGGGACAAAATCATTGGCTTTCTTTTATGTGCATAATCTTCGGTTTTCCTGTTTGGGTTTTGATGCATTGAGGAACTAAAGTGCCTTGTTCACAAGTATAGTCTGTCTTGCTGCCTTTGTGATAAACTCAGCGCTTGGTTGAGTAGTGGAATGCTCTTGGTTGACTGCTCCATGCACGTTTCATCATAATTAGATGGATTGTGTTTGTGTTTCTAAAAAAAATGATGTTTTTTGTTGTTGTTCATGGTAGCAATAGCAGTTTTTTTTTTTTTTTTTAGAATTACATGTTCCCATTCTAAGTTTTTCTTGTCTTTCTTGGTTTGTTTGGATGTTGAGTTCTGGGAATTCTTTGTTTGGGATCAAGGCTTTGGTGTTGGTTTGAGATAGTGGCTGATTCTGATGGAAAGATTGCATTAGAACGAACATCATAATTGTGGGAAAAACATGGTTGAAAAATTGCAGAAATAAAACCCATTTCACAGCCTGTGTTATGTTTGTTTTAGTTATCAAGATCTTTGGGTACATTCGGCCAAAAGTTGCAGAAGAATAGCTCCAGTTTGCAGAATGTTTCTTTGTAGTATTTGCATGAAACTTCGCATGGAATTCTTCCAATTATTTGCATTGTTAAGGGATGTGTACACTTGGGATCCTCGGTGACATGTTTCCTATGCCAATTCAATGCCACCTATAGTATTGCGCCAAGTGTCATGTTATTATTTACACTTGTGTTAAATCAAACCAAGTTAAATCAAACCAAGTTAAATTATTAGAAAATTAAAGTGTAAATAATAACAAGACACTTGGCGCAATACTATAGGTGGCATTGAGTTGGCATAGAAAACATGTCACCGAGAATCTCAAATGGGATGTGTAGCCATGTTTAATTGGAGTAATTTCAAAGTTATGGTATGAATCCGCTTTGCTGATTTGCGGAACCTTGTGCAATGAAAATATGCAGCAGAACCTTGCCGAGAACTTCATCAGTTGCTAAAGTTCTGTTGTAATATGTTTTCCCACGTCAACTTGCATGTATTTGCATGCAAAAGTAACTTTCAGAAATGGCCTTTTAACTCCCCAAGTCCTTTTTTGTGCTACTGTGGCCCAATCAATTGGAAAAATCAATCAAATTGACCCCTCAAACTTTCTTTTTCCTTTCAATTAGGCCCCCAGCTTTGCGAACATGGCTGTTTAAGTCATTTAAATGCTTTAACATTTATGTGGTTGTTTGTGATTACTTGACCCTTTCTTTGCTCTTAGACCCTTGAAGTTCCCAAAATGTTTTAATTAGGCTTGAATGATTGGTCAAGGTTTGCAATTGGATCCTTGGTAGTTTTCTATTTTGGAAATTTGATTCATAGTTTACTTTTTCTTGGAAATTGTGAATTATTTGGTTTCATTTAAGTTGCAATTGGGAGGAATTTGGTGATTTTGTTTACACTTTACTATTTAAATTGGTGCATTGACCCCTTTATTGTTTTGAAGCCATTTTTCCTTCATTTGCTTACCATTGCGAGGGAGGTACACTCTATCATTTATTTTTGACTTTATCTGACCCTACGTGCGTATATGTGTCTTATGTGTGCAATTGCATGACTTTAAGTGTTTATTTCATTTTCACTTTATTTATTTCTTTAGTTGCTTAGTTTTTGCTTTAATTTTAGTTCAATTTTATCATTTGGGAGGCACTTGAATGCCAAGTTGTAATAGTTAGGTTTATTTCATTTATTTTCCGTTTCCCCTTTAGATTGTAATAGGCTTTCCCCAAATGTAATAGTTAGGGTTTTATTTGTTTTATTTGCCTTACGTGTTTTGCATGCCTATGTGCTATGTGTTACCGCTTTCTTAGGGCTTAGCATCTAGATATACCATGCTTATGTGCTACGTGCTACGTGAAACTATGTGTTTTGCATGTCTATTTGCTTTTTAGTATTATATCTGATTATGTGGATGAATGCGCGTGACCGTGGCTAGTCCAATGCTAGTCATGGTCTTCCCCTCGAGCCCACACTAGTCCAATGCTAGTTGTGGTTCCCTTGTCCGATTTCCACTAGTCCAACGCTAGTGAGAATTCATAGATATGGGCTAGTCCAATGCTAGGCCCTTAGGGACCTCCTACGCTAGATCATGCTTGTATGACTACATCACACTCTCATGCATATTTTTCACTTTCTAGGGCCTTTTATCACTTTGTATGATATTCCCCTTATACGTATATCCCTTATCCCTAATTTCCCTATATATATACCCCTGTGTATGATACATGACATTAGACTTGCATTTCATTTTAGCAATAGGATTAGGGTAGTGCATTTGCTTGATTAGATAGGGAATGACCCCTTGAATATGGGATATGGACGAGTTTGGCTTTCCTAGGCTTAGCACGCTCGTATTCTCTCTATTAAAGGGAACATTGAAAGTCACGAGTATAAGTCCCCCGCACCCATTATGATGCATTCCTTTAGGTCATACACATTTGTATATTATTATTTTCTTTATTTTTTCTTTCCTTCGAGTCACATGACTTGCATTATTCGTGACTTCTTCGAAGAGTCTTTATTGGGCGTCACAATTAATGTGATTGGTACCAAATAAGATTTGAAAATACATTTCAACCCCCGACACCCTCCTAGGTCTAAAGTATGCATTCATATAGTACATCCAAAATGTGATAAATCTTTGGGTTAAAATAAGAAAGTTTTTGACTAAATCGCGCAACTACCCTTGGCTAGGTTGAAAGGGTGCCTTGGATTCTTATCCTTGCCTTCCCTTTCTTCAAATGTGACTCCCGAATCTTTTTCTCTGATTTTTGTAGATTTGGAGTCGTTTAAAAAGGGTTTTCTACTTTTTTTTCATTAAAAATTCATTTTTAGGTGACTTGGTACACCTTAACTCTATACTAAGTGGCGACTCCATTTTTCATTCAAAAACCCTTTTTAAACTATATTTTGGGTCAAATCGTCGCATTTTCAAGTCCCATTTAGACCCATGTTTTTCATTTTCTTTTTAAATCAAAAATTCATTTTCCTAAACAAAATTTATTTTTTCTTTAAAAAATGGGGCACGACACTATTTTGCCTCATCTCTTATTTGTCAGGAAATGTAAATTTTCATGAGCAATTATAACGTTATCCAAAAGCTGTCTCCCCAGGATAAAATCAGATTGAAAGGAATTTGATTTTATATCACCAAGCAACCCAAATTAATGCTGTGAGCATCTTGAAAACTGTTAGAAATGTATTGAAAACAAAGATGTGGATTTTCAAACTTGTTGAATTGATTTTCAAAGGTAAAAGAACTGAGCTTTGACATTAGAAATATTTTGATTTTCAGTAGGGTAATTTGGTGCAATTCACTACCAAAATATATACAATTTAAGCAAGGAGTAGATATTACCATAAAAAAAATATGCATCATCAAAGCAACAAACATGTATTTTATTATTTACACAGTTTTATTTGCTTTATCATAAACACATTTTTAATCACTTTTTTTTTATCTCACATGTATCACATTATAAAAGTGCTATAGTATTTTTTTTAAATTATCCTAAGTAATCTCCTATCCAAACACACTCAAATTGTTCAATTGAAATTCATCACACCAACCTATTCTACAAGGCTGAAGTGCTGTCACATGTTAACACTTGGTATCTATGCATCTGCAATATGCATAGTGTATTTCCATACAATAAGTATATTCAATATTACATTCAAGAGCTTTGCAACTGTATCCACTTCATATTGTATCTCCATAAGACATTAAGATGTGCTTAACTAAATCAACAGCAGAAAAGCAACTTTGTTTAACTATGCAAAGTTGAAGTCAACAAATGTTCACAAATTATTCGCAACTGAAATTATATTAAGGAATCTTTTAAGCAGTAGAAAAAAGTAAAAAAAAAAAAAACAGTTTTAAAGTCTAAATTCTTGAAGGTAATGCCCTAAAAGATAGCAACATGCCATGAACAACACCAAAAAACCAGGGCTAAGGCATTTAAATTTATATTTCTCCATCTTTGAAGTATTTAACGTGAGAAATGCCATTATGCAACCAGGCCAATTCAGTACACAACCAAGCTAATTGTAAGGAATGCCATTACAAATTCCAATATGAGAAATGCCATTATATAAGAATTGGCAGGGCAAGATTCTAAGCTTCAGTACACAACCAAGCTAATTCAAATCATGAATCAGTCGCATACATAGCAGCTGATCGGCACAAAAACTCAGTTCAATTCTTCGGAAAAAAAAAAGAGTCAAACTTCCATAAAGTTAGTCAATCGCAAAATGTGCAGATTTTCTATTATGCAAGGCAAAAACATCCCTCTTGCTTAGATCTCATCGTTGGGTCATTGGATCACATGGATGAAGGAAAAACATCCACTCAATGTAGAGCAGTTTGGAACTTGGTTCAAACTATGCACCTTCAGAATACAATCGCATGGTACATGGCACTAAAGGACTTTTTTTTATTTTTTTTTAATCAAATTAAAATTTTATTGCTGCAACCAACAAAAATACCCAGATCGGGTCCAACCCATTTCCAGGAGTACAAATTCAAACCCTGACCAAACCCACCACCCCCTACCGCCAGCACCTACGAAAGCTTGGGAACCCGTACACATCCAAGGTAATGTCCCCCCTCACCAACCTAGGTAAAGCACTATAACCCTCATAAATGATAGTATGCCCATCCTCCACTCCAGCGTTAGACAATCTGTCCGCCGGCTTGTTTGTCTCCCGATAGCAATGAGACACGGCATCAAAATGCCGTCCATATTGCTGCAGCTCTCGTAGCTCCTTCTGCAATCGCCAAGGACATCTAACCTTCCCCTGAATAATCCGTACCAACACCATTGAGTCAGACTCTAGATGCAACCTAACTAAACCACGGGATACACCTAATCTAACACCAAAGAGAAGCGCTTTGAGTTCCGCCTGAAGGCTCGTAGCCTCCCCAAAAGAGCACGAGAAGCCAAGCAGGAACCTCCCCTCAGAATCCCTGAACAAACCCCCACCGCCACTCCTCCCCGGATTACCTCTTGAGCAACCATTGACATTCAGCTTCACTACCGTCCGAGTCGGACCTTCCCAACGAACCTCCCGTATAATAACCTTGCGTCGCAACCTACCTATCATTTCAAAAAAACCAATTCGTGAACTACAAGGCAGAGATATCTCTCGAAACTGGAGACAGACGCATTCTCTCAACTCCAAGAAAATCCGATCACAAACATGCACTACCGAGTCTAGCTTCCCCTCAAAGATCCACATATTCCGCATCTTCCATAAATTCCAACAAATTAACGATGGCAATATGCGGTGAACGAACCCAAGGTATGGATTCGTATTAGGTTTAACCCACCAACTCATCACCTTATGTCTAATCGTGAGAGCCTCACTAAATCCGCCGATGATACCCTCAAAGCAACCCCAAACCTGCCTAGCCACCTCCCCCGTACAAAAAATGTGACTAATAGTTTCTGGGGATGGGCTCAGAGAGCAACAAAAGCACTTAGAAGGGCCCAAGAACCCAAACTTGTGTAACACATCCATCAGCGGCAACCTACCATACATCAGGCGCAGCATGAAGAAAGAAATCTTGGATGGCAAGGCCTGATGCCACAAAGAACCAAATAGTCTGGAAACATTACCTCCTTGACGCACTATCTGATATGCTGATGTAATAGTAAATGCACCTGAATTAGTGGGGGCCCAGACCATTTCATCCGCCTCCGCCGCTGTAGAGGGAGCCTCCCTCAGCACCCGTGAAACCCATTCCGACGGTAACACCCTACTTAAGCCCTGCAAATCCCACCTGCCTTCCACAACAAAGTCTGCAACCGAGTGCTCCTGAAACGAGTCCACCTACCTACATAGCGGTTCCGCTCCCAATCAATTGTCATGCCAAAAGCTTGAAGACCTACTGCCCAGTGACCATCGAATATTCTCCTCCGCTACCCCTTGAGCGTGTACCATCCTCTTCCAAATGTACGACTGCCCTGGAGAGAGATCCGAGCAACAAGGATGCATCCCCTGGCAATACTTCTAGTGCATGAACTCAGCCCATAAAGACCGGCGCAGCCTAAAATTCCACCATAACTTCAAAGAGAAGGCATCAAACACATGCGCAAGGACCTAACTCCCACACCGCCCTCCGGGTAAGGCTTGCATAGCTGACTCCATTTAATCCAATGAAATCTCGGACCAACCTCAGAGGAACCCCATAGGAAATTAGCAAAAATTTGCTCCAACATGACAAACGTCCCTCGATGGGGGTTGGCGGCTGCAAAAATGTGAATCGGCATGGACGCCAGCACGCTCCGTATCAGCACCAACTTCCCACCTGACGATAAGAGTCTCTCCTTCCACGATAAAATCCTACTTGCAATCGAGGTACAAATCGTAGAGAAATAACTCTTCCTCCGCCTTCCCGAGTAAAGTGGGCACCCTAAATACGTCACCGGAAATGATTAGGAACGAAATCCCGTGACCTGTGCTATAACTCGTCTCCGCACCTCCGACAGGCTAGAATGGGATAGAAAACCACTTTTTTGATGGTTTACCTTTTGCCCCGAAATCGACGTATAGTCCTCTAACACCTGCATCACCAACTGAAGTGATCTTTTCATGCCGCTCGAGAAAATAATGATATCATCCGCATAAGCTAGGTGCGTGACCACCGAGCATCCCTTCGGAACCCTGAAAGGGACGAAACCCTGACGCCTACTCAAGGAGTTAAGATGAAGAGAGAGAACCTCAGCGCATAAAACAAACAAGCTTGGTGAGATCGGATCCCCCTGACGAATCCCACGGCTAGATTTAAAGAAACCTTGGGGTGCCCCGTTGACGATAACTGAGAACCACACATTCGAGATCAGCCTCCATATCATATCAATCCACACTTCACAAAAATCGAAATGCCTCAACACTTGAATCAAAAATGGCCAAGAAACCCTGTCGTAGGCTTTGGCCATATCGATCTTCAAAACAACATTACCCCCTCTACTAGCTTTCCCAATATCTGTAATAAGCTCCTGAGCTAATAAAACATTATCAAAAATTTGTCTACCCTGTACAAATCCACTTTGCTGAGGCGATATGATGCTGGGTAACACCCTGCCCAATCGAGTCCTAAGATCTTGGAGAGCACTTTATTAAGAAAATTGCACAGGCTAATTGGTCGGAATTGACTAAAGTCTTGGGGAGAGCCAATCTTAGGAATAAGCACCACCCATGTCGCCGTGAGTCCCCTGGGCAGTTCCTACCCACAGAAAAAACTAACCACCGCCTCACATACATCCTTCGCCACCACCTCCCATGCAAAGGTAAAGAACCTCCCTGTGAAACCATCCGGTCCCGCTGCACTCTCCCCATCTATTCCAAACACCACCTCCCTTATCTTCTTCACCTCCGGAATCCGCACTAACTCCTCATTCTGGGCATGAGAAATCATGTGGGGAACCACGTCCAGTGTATCCCAAGACCCTGAGAATGGCTCAGCCGAGAATACAGCTTTAAAATACTCAACTGCCTCCACTGCAATCCGATCCTCCTCTGTTAACCAAACCCCATTCGTACCTTTGATTCGATGAATTACCGCTTTCGCCCTACGCTCCGTAACTATAGAGTGGAAATATTTAGAATTTTTATCCCCCTCCCTAATCCATTTCACCCTCGCCTTTTGTCTCCAATAACCTTCCTCTATCATTAGCGAGTTCTTCAACCCCGTCCGCGCCTCCTGAAGAGCAAGGAGATTTGATTCCGAAGGATCACTATCAAAAAGACCCTCCAACCTCAGTGCCTCCCCCCTAGCCTTCCTTACCCCCTTAAAAATATCCCCAAACGAATCCCTAGACCACAATTGCACCTGCTGTTTGACCTCCCGCAACTTGGCAACTAATCTCTGCAGGGGCGGGCCTAAAAAAGTTCCCTCCCAAGCTTGTCGAATAACTCCCAAAAGCTCCGGCTTAGTCGTCCATATATTCAAGAATCGAAAGGACTTTGGTTTATTATCCAATCTAGACAGTGCTGTCAAGAGCAAGGGAGCATGATCCGAGGGGTCCCGCCCCAAATGTTGCACCATAAAATTATAATCTAAGAAAGACGCATGCTGATTATATAACAATCTGTCTAGCCTCTTCCAAATACGCGCACTCCCCCTCTATTATTACACCATGTGAACTTCGAACCCGAAAACCCAGCATCTCTTACCCTAGCAGAAGCCATAAAACAGATAAAATCCACCCCCTCCCCCAATCGAAAAGGTAAGCCACCCCGCTTCTCCTCCTCACTAACTATGACATTAAAATCCCCAACCAGGAACCATGGAGCATCGATCGGGTTATCTAGTAGTAACATAGACCAAAGCGACCTTCTATCCTGTTCATTACACTTTGCATGCACAAACGAAAAAACCATAGGACCATCTACCATAGGCGATTGTATTTTAAGCGACAAATGCTGACTCGACTCACCCAAGTGATCACAAACAAGTGAATTTGGATAGAACACCCAGATAGAACCTTCACTATTAGTAATGCACCTATCCATCCTCAAATTTAACCGTATCCATTGAATGTCCCCCACACACACCTTAGGTTCACAGATAGCAACTAACTGAAGTGAAGACTCAGCAATTAAACTTTTTAACCGACGAAGGTTTGGGGCACGCGAGATACCCCGAATATTCCAAAAAAGGAACTTAATCATCAGACAAAGCAGCAAAAGAGTTATTGGACAGCTTTGCCTTAGAGCGTAAAGAGCGATCAGTAGGGAATGTTACACGCGTACCTCTACGTTTGGATTGCGCCATTTGCTTCCCTCCCTCCTCTCCCTGCACCTTTTCCTGAACCTATTGTATAATAGGGTCGAGATTGAAAATATCCACCACCAAGGAACCAAAATCCCTCTCTACCGCCCCAACCTCACCTCTTGGAGATAGATTTCCAGCACTTCGTTCCGCCGTAGCCACCTCTTCCTCCCCCACCGTTGCATTCTCCTCCACCGTGAGGTCACCTGCCTCTCCAACCGCCTCCTGATCAGCAGCTATGTCCTTCAAGGGAGATGACAGCAACCTGCCCCCCAAATCTGGCGCAAGGACATCGCCACACCCATGCTGCATTTCTCCATGCAAAAGCACAGCTGTCCCTGCAGCAGACCTTGGCAACTCCAAACGCTGACCTGCATGTCCAGCTGCCTCCTCACTTGCCCCCTTCTCCAACGAACCCAGTACCATCCCTTCACCCACGGTTGCAGACTGATCCGTCCCACCCACAGGCGCCGCCGACCCTGGTCCAGCAATAGGCTCCATACCAGGAGCCTATCTCTCCACTTCAGGAGGCGCTACCATCACGCCAGGCTGCGTTTTGTCCATCGGCTACGTCGGCTGCACCATTGCTGTTGGATAGAGCAGTCAACAATCTTCATGACCATGGCCTTGGCGAAAGCAATGAGAGCAGTACCTGGGAACATGTTCTGGAACCAGCTGCTGCCAAAACCCCCATAATCCCCATTGCCAATCCATATTCTACCTGGAAAAGCCTTAAGCAAATCAACCTCCACACAAACTCGCGCTACACTAGGACGCAAGCCAGAAGCCGTGGCTGCATCAACGAATAGGGGCTTGCCCACACAGCAAACGATCTGAAACAAACACTCCTTGTTGAAGTAATGTATCGGTAACTTGGGCAATTGAAATCACACCGGAACCACTGCAGGCTCACGGTCTACATAGAACTCTGGCGACCAATGAAAAACTCTCATTGGCTTCCCAAAGACATACCAGATACCCCTTGCCCATAGCCTATGAAAGTCAGCCTCCGTACCCAGCTTAATTAGAATATGCCTAGCATCCATCAACCCAACCGAAGCTTCCTCTTTCAGGTCCAGCGTTGGGAAAAATTTTCTCAAGTCCTCCATCTTAGGCCTTCCCTTCGAGAATTTTCCCACCAGAGCAAATTGATATGGTGTAGCTAACATCTCCAGGTCTGCTTGGGCAAACAAAACTGCTGGTTTACCAAATCTCGTAAGTACAAACATATAAATTTAATCTCAATTGTACCTACCAAAATATAATTTTAAATTCTACCCTAAAATACTACAATATTCTGAAATTAAACAAAATTCATATATTTAGGAATTAGATATTGTGAGTTTAAACTTTAAACCATGTATTTAGGAATTAAATATTGCAACTTTGTTAAAAAAAAAAGAGAGAGAAACTTGGAATCTGGATGAAGTCAAGAAACTAGAAAGTAGATATGAAAACTTGATAAGAAGTAAAAGATGAGAAGAAAGTGAGTGAGTGAGACACTTAGTAACTAGTCTTTGGAATTAATAAGAACCTATTCTTTTTTTTTTTCAATTTAATAGAAAAAAACAAAAAAAATACTGGTTCAACAGTTCATTTCGATTCGAATGGTTCACATGATTCTCATCAATTTTTAAATTCAATCAATCCAAATTAAGTATGAATCAGATTGGAGTCCTCGTCGGTTCATAGTTCGACCGTTTGAATCGGCCGGTTCAACCTGAATTTTAAAAGACTGCCAAAATATGTGTACTTTTACCTTTATACTCTCATTTATTTATTATTCTCTCTACTGAGCGGCCTCATATTGTACCATTGTCTAAATTTCAGTGCAGCGATTAATAAAATTAGATCCATTTTTTATCAAAATATATAAATACAAGGAATCTTCCTGATTCAACATCCTTAGTTTGTCATTATTATAATCTTTATTTTGCCATATAATTCAGACCAACTGACAAGCTTTTTAAGTACTCCATTTTTTTTTTAAAGTTTGGGTAACTAACATTTACACCTATATCTTATAGGATTTGTGTCTCTATCAATTTACATTCCTGATGGTAAACTCTTGGGATTTGGAAATTTTTAAACTCTTGATTGATCATAATTTTTCCCATTCTGTCCGAACAGAAAAAGGGAATAAGGAAACAAAAGCCTCTGTTCAGGTACTAAAAGAGAAGAAAATAACGAATTTAACAAATAAATCAATGAATTCATCCCAATGAATCAATGGATTCCAAACTTGAATATGAATGATATCTCATATATCTAGAGCCTCTCGTGTTACACTAACATAAGGTGTAGCCCTGAATCTCAATGCAGAGCAGGGCAATCAAGTTGAAGAAAGAAAAAATGCGCAAAAATGGAGAAAATGATAACGCTTCTTGCCATTTTGCTCCATGTTATTTATAGCAGTACTTTTATCATATTCAATCAGGGAAAAAGGAATGTTTGCTGAAATTGAACTAAACATCAGTTATAAATAGTTTGAAGTAGATTGGTGTATATTTACTTATTCACGTAGTAATGACATTAATGTGTTATAAAAGGAAACCTAGGACAAAAGTATCACTGGATTTCATCATTATCATTATCATTATCATTACTATATAAAATGTATGAATTTTAGCATTAGAGAGTGTAAGCACTTTTTTATTTTAATTTTTGTTATCACCAAATTACCCTTATGTTTTTTAATTAAAATTATTGCATTTCAATGTGATACTAATTAAAAGAAATAAAACGCTCCAATTGATTACATTTCGATAGTATTGGTGATTATAATTAAAAATTGCTCATTAAAAACTATTTACCTACCCTTGAACTTCATCTCCAATTATTATACTTGTATCAAAATTTCTTAATCAAAGTATGAAAATTTTCTCATTAGTCATTAGTTGAGATTGTACAAAAAAAAAAATCAATGTAAAAAAGTAGATACTCTCTAAAAAAAACAGAGAGAAATATACAAGAAGAAGAATGCCCTTATTCATCTATATATCTTTATACAAATTTCACAATTATGCACTTTATACCAATGGGATAATATTCGAAACCTCCCTTGAGGTTTCTCTTAATATCACTTGAAACCCTGAGGTTTTAGAAGTATCACTTACCTTCCCTAATACTTGACACACTATATATCACTGTGCGAAAATTAATTTTGCACTGCCTGTAGGTGTTACCGTTTCATCTGCGTTTCAAAAATCGTCATTCAATTGCTACCCACCCGTAATACTAACTCAGCAGCCACCCAGCTCTATCGAATCATACCCAACTACGACTCTGTGCAAATTAATGTTGCACTGGCAATATATTGAATTCTATTAAGTTGGCAATAACTTTGGCAAATAGGTTACAGCCCATCCTAGGAGTGGCCACGATTCAGATTTAAATCGAAACCAGATCAGAATTGATTCGACGGATTGTTGAACCGAAATCGAAACCAAATTTTGGACATCAAAATTGGAACTATAATTGTGGCTAAAGGTTTAGATTTAGGTTCATCAAAATTCTTAATCGGAACCAGAATCGAAATAGATGGTTTACAGCCCATTTAAACCTTCTAAAAAAATATTTGCCACCTAAACATATTTAACCAGATTATGATTTAATATCAATAGTCAACATCTACTACCAATAGCTCTAGTTCTAACCCAACAACTCATTGTCCTATTCCATTAATAAGTTTATACCCCATGACTAATCTAAATCTAAGATGAATCTAATCTAATCAATAACAAAATATTTTTTTTCATAAAATCTGCATAATTTTTTCTTTTTCTTGCACATGATGATATAATAAGTTTTTTTTTTGTTTTTACATTCATTATCATATTTTTTTAGAATCAATTTTATACCAACAAGTGTTTAAATATAACAAAAAGAATCGGAACCGTAACTGAAATTGTAGGTTCAAGAAACGTAGTCATAACTACTCTTTTGAGAACTGATTTATGTTCTATCTTTCGAAAGAATCAAAACCGTCAATTTTGAAACTGGAATCGATGGTTTCGAAACAGTGGCGATGTCTAACGCACCTATCCTTCTCTTATTCGGTCAATATCGAATTCAAATCGACCTCGAACTAATCAAGTCGAGTTTGAGCTCAAAAACATTAAGCTCGTAGGCTCACGAGCTCGATTATATATATATATATATTTTTTATTTTTTATTTTAATAGTAAAATTACATATATATCTCTAATATTTTATTATTTGTTAAGAAAAAAATTATTTTATTCATTTTTAAAAATAAAATAATTATTATTAATTTTTTTTAATTCGAGTTCGAGTTTCATAAAATTAACTGGAGGCTCGACTCGATTAGACCAAAACTCGACTTTACTCGGTTCGTTTGCATCCCTAACCCTATCTCATGTTACCGTGTTACTCGGTTGTTTTTTATAGGGAAAATCACCAATTTAGTCCTCAAACTATTTCACTTAAACCGATTTGATCCCTTAATATTTTATCGCATGAATTAAGTCCCTTAACTAAAATTCTTGTGCCAATTGAGGACCTATACGGTGTCGCCACCAAAAACACATATTTCTGTATACAATTCAACGGAGCAGGGGCTTTTTTCGAAGTAAAAAGACACCTGTTGTATAGGCTACTGATTAAAAAGGCACGTGTTTCTAGAGTAGCTTGATTCTCATCTCGGAAAGTGTGCCGATATTTTAGGAAACTAAACTTGCGATTGCAAATGAAATTAGCCCACTAGCTATTGGACAGCCGCTCACAAGGATGTAGGATGTATATGTTTTGATCTTTGTAGTATTTAGACCTGATACGTGGCAAAACAGGTACTCCATTATAGTTTCCTTAAGTTCATAAAATCCAGATGTTTAATTGCTACCACAATAACAAAGCAAACTTCACTGAGGCATTTCATCGAACACCTTTGCCGCATTTAATCATTACTAGCAATTTTAATCGATTTGGACCCTGAGGATTTCACCTCCTCACTTCCCTTAAAAAAGGTCCCATACGGCGATGTTTATGAGGGTTCCAGGGCCGGCGACGTTGCTCAAAAAATCACACTACCCGTGTAAACTGTACCATTGATTATTATGAAAGCTACAGTAACTGTAAGAGAAGTCAATAATGCAGATGGCAAGATAAATGATGGAGGCGTGTAAGGTTGGTTTCCTGGCTCCGAATCTGATTTTAAGATTAGAAATAACATATTCACCACACAAGTTTTCCAATCACAGAAGAAATACATATTCACTAGGAAGGAAACGGTCGTAAACTTCGCTAGGAAGGAAATGAAGGGGATAAAGATGGTGGTTGGTGATGAACTGATGATGATGTTTTACTAATTTTCCCAGTAAGATTTTTTATTTTTATTTTTTTTTGGTTAACAAAAATCCCTCCCGAAAGAGTAGGAAAAGGACAGAGCTTTTTGAGTTCAGAAATATTCTAGGAGATTTTGTTTGGATTGACCGATTCTAATGGGAATTGGGGAATTTCCGATTTCTTTGCATTTGTCAGTGC